TAAATAACAAGAATGGTAAAAATAAAAGCAACAACATTGCATTTGTCCAAATATATTTATCATAACTACAGGTTACAGCTAATATATATATTTTGGAATTATATTTTGGGTGATACTTTAATTTAATTTAACTTGACCGTCAATGTCATATAACATATATTTAAAGTATTTTTTTAACAAGGAGAAGGAATGATGAATATTTTTTAATTTAATATCTTTTTACACACCATAATAATATATAATACATTTACTTTATATAAAATGGGTTCGAAACACATTATACATCACTTAGTTTTGGTAAATCCCTTATAATATTTTAAAGTTTATTTAATTAAAATGTTAAAATTAATTTATATTTTTCATAAATTTTATATTGATGTGATCTATGTCTAATTGTTGGAATTATCTTATGATATTTATTTAAGGAGTATTTTATATCAAAAGGAAGGTTAGAACTTTATTATTTTTATGAAATTATTTCATGTACAATATAAGTTATTTCATACAAACTTCCATAATAATAGAGATATTTTTTGTTTATGCTTAAGTTCTCGTAATTTTTTTTTAATTATTATTAAAAATATCTCTGAATCATTGAAATATGTATATTTTATAAGTTATTATTTCTCTTCTTATTTTATCGATATAAGACCTTCTTTCTATTTTAACATCAATTATTACTTGAGTTTTGATTAAACTTGTTTTTGAGTTTACAAACCCCCCGCCCCTCTAACATGTCAGTTTTTGTATAAGAATTGTTTTTAGAGCATTTTCAATCAAATTACTAACGAAAATTTTAAACTTACTCATTAGTTAGTGTGTAGTTTCACCATTTGGAACAATATAATTTTTATATAATGATTATTGCTTATATAATTAAGTAAGCCGTTCTTAATTAGGATTCAGAATTGTGCGATATAATTGTACGATTGATTTTATGTTCTTAAAAAATTACATCATTAAAAATAATTGTTGAAATTCTTAAACCTCATGTATCATTAGAGACTTTTATAAAATGAGTTAAGAATTTCACAGTGGTTACATAATTAGATATGCTATAAACACATGTAAACAAATATATTATAACTATGTTTATCATATTATTTTTTAGTTTATACTTTTTTCTCTTTTATTTTTCTTACAAAAATTATGTACAGATATTACTCTACTGAACAAAGGAACTAAACCAAACAGAAACAATTAGTACAATAAAAAGTTGGCCCGAGATCTATCAACTAAAGAAATAAAACAAACGCATAAAGACTAAGATATTAAATAAAAAGTGACAAATAAGAATAATACAAAAATGGTCGGATCCGGTGGTTGTACCATCTTTTTCTTAATTAAATCTGTAGAATTTTTTTAATGCCTACCTCGATTGACGTCGAATTTAAAGACTTTGACATTTCAAGTCTAATGGGGAGGCTGGCCACTTTAAAATCCCACCACATATTTTTAAATTTTAATTAACTAAAACGTGTTTTTTAATTATATATATATAT